TGCTCTTAATATAATCACAGAGGTCATTAATATAGAATATGAAGAGAGTTGATCCTAAAACAGTGCCTTGGGGGACACCACTGTTGACAGGTACAGGATTTGATAGGACACTCAAAATTTTGACCATTTTTGCCTGTTTGACAGGAATGCTTCTATCCAGTTAAGGAGATATCCAGAGATACCATAAGACCTTAATTTTAGGAGTAGTTTGTCATGTACCTCTGAATCAAAGGCTTTACATAATATATTATATTTATACATTCTATAAAATCAAAGCAGATTCCCCTCTCTGAGTACATGAAAAGACTCTTTTGAATGAACCTCTCTCTATCTTCCTCATACAGAGATATCAACCCAACCCAGGTCCATCTAAAATACAACAGTAAGAGTAGTATTCTTTAAGCTGGTGCATCTCATCTGGGAACATCCATTTGACAAAATGTGCTGCTGTTTCCTTATTCATCAGAGGAGCTGATCCATATGAGATATAAATGGGGGGAAAGAATACAAGCAAAAAAGAGATTGTTCCAAAGTGGATGACATTTCTGTCCCCAGCAACCTAAAACTAATAAGAATACCAGTGCATGCAAAATAGATGTTTGTGCAGGTAAGATTATCAACCTTAATGCCAACCAAAACAAAGTATTTAATAGTGAGTGCCATACCAAGTGCCTTAATCAAACAGGTGGCAAGAAAGTAGGGGCAGACAGGTACAACACAGGTTATGGAGACAATAAACACAGTGTCAGACATAAAGATCTCAAGTGCCTATATACAAATGCACAAAGTCTGGGGAACAAACAGGGTGAACTCAAACTAAGAATACATGAAGGTAAATATGATATAGTTGGAATAACAGAAACTTGGTGGGATGAAACCCATGACTGGAACATACCGGTAGAAGGATACAAACTATTAAAGAAAAAAACCAGACCCCATAAAAGAGGAGGTGGAGTTGCACTGTATGTAAAGGACCACTATATTGCTACCGAAATGCATGAAACCAAAGATGAAAACCTCCTAGAATGCATATGGGTCAATATAAAAGAAAAAAAGAATGACATGGCCATAGATGTATATTATAGGCCACCCAATCAAGCAGAAAAAATAGATGTCCTTTTTGTCAACTAACAAACATATGCAGGAAACCCACAACAATAGTAATGGGAGACTTCAATTATCCTGATATCAATTGGAAAACTAATTCTGCACCAAGTGAGAAATCAAATTAGTTCCTAACCAACCTAGCTGACAACTTTGTTGTCCAAAAGGTAGAGGGTGAAACTAGAGGGACAGCCATACTGGACTTAATTCTTACAAACAGAATAAGTGATAGAGGGAGTTGAAACTGCAGGAACCTTGGGTGAGAGTGACCATGTCATGCTAGAATTCAACATAACACAAACACAAGCAACAGAACATAATGACACCAGAGTCTTGGATTTTAAAAGAGCTGATTTCAATAAACTCAGAGAGAACTTGGGAAAGATTCCATGGATGAAAATCCTAAAGGAGAAAACAACTCAAGAATCTTGGGAAACTCTAAAAAGTATGATCATAGAAGCCCAGACCAGCACAATACCACTGAGAAAGAAAAACAAGAAATCCAAGAAGAAACCAGCATGGTTGCACAAAGATCTCTCTGGAAAATTGAAAGAAAAAAAGGACAAGTACAAAAAATGGAAAGAAGGATGTACAACTAAGGCAGAATATCAGCAGATAGCTGATGGCTATTTTATATGTGAAATTATGAAATGAATTTGAGTAGAGATCCTGGGAAAGTGTCAGAATAACAAAATAATACTTAGAGGGACCTTGGGGAACCCTATACCATTTCAGAGAAATGGCTGTCCAGTCTTTTCTGAAAAACTTCCAGTGATTGAGCACCCAGAACTTCTGGAGACAAGCAGGCCCACTGGTTACTTGTTCTCACTGTCAGGAAGTTTCTCCTTAGTTTTAGGTTGCTACTCTCTTTGTTCAGTTTACATCCATTGCTTCTTGTTTGCATTGTGCTTTTTTGGAAAATATATTGCCCCTACTTCTTTGTGGCAGCCCTTAAAAGCCTATTGACTATCACACTCTTGGGCAAAGCATGTGAGCCATTTCCTCCTTTCAGTGATCCATGAAAGTACATCTATAGTATGCAGATAATAAAGTCAAAAAAAGGTGAATAACATTTTTACAGAACTATAGATATTTTTATTTATTTATTTATTTATTTTGTCAAACAATTATGAGATAACAGGTATGTATAAACATGGTTATAAATACATGAAATGGATACAAATAAGAAAAAAGAAACAATAAGACAGGGACGGTAGGCATGTTTTGGTGCATTTATGCACGGCCCGTACAGACCTCTTAGGAAAGGGGTGAGATATGTTGAGACTGGGTGTGGCAAGGAATGGCTGGGAGGGGAGGGGCCAGGCAAGGCACCCCTTGATGTGAGTGACATTGAGTTGGCCATGCCCACCCAATCACATGACCACCAAGCTGTGCCCACCCAGCCACATGACCACCAAGCCATGACCACCCAGTCACATGACTGCCAAGCCACACCCACCAAATAAGCCACATCCATAAAACCGGTAGTAAAAATGTTTGAATCCCACCACTGGTTCTTGGTGACATGCAAGGGAAGAAAATTCAGAAAGTACAAGAATATATGTAGACTATTTTCAGAACAGCTCTACAGTTTAGATAATATTATTGTCTCCTAATGAAACAAAGGACTGTGAATATACTTTACGGGGAAAAACTTTGTAATAAATAATAAAATTAAAAGCAACAATATTTCCCTCATTTGAAACTTCAGAATTGGGGGAGCTTAGGCCTCCCTGAGCTTTAGAATTAAAACATGGGTAAGAGTGATGCAGTATGGTAATCATAGGAAGGAAGGAAAGAAGGAAGGAAGGAAGGAAGGAAGGAAGGAAGGAAGGAAGGAAGGAAGGAAGGAAGGAAGGAAGGAAGGGAGGGAGGGAGGGAGGGGGGGGGGGGGGGAGGGAGGGGGAGGGAGGAAATGAACATTATAGTGGTGATGTGTATGAGTCTGTGAATGACAATACTTACAGATACTGATCAGGACATCATGTGAAGGAACACTTTGAAAATTGATCTCATTTGAAAGAAATAACACCACTACTATTACTATTAATTCTCATCACTCCTTATCGCCCATCTCTTCCCACTTGTGACTGTATGACTATAACTTTGTTGCTTGTATTCTTCTGATTTATATTGACTGTTTCCTAATATGATTAGATTGCTTATTGTACCCTATGATTATTAATAAGTGTTGTACCTTATGATTCTTAACTCTTGATGAATCTATCTTTTCTTTCATGTACACTGAGAACATTTGCACCAAGATAAATTCCTTGTGTGTCCAATCACACTTGGCCAATAAAGAATTCTATTATATTCTGATAAATGATAGCAGCAATGATTAAATCTCCCAACTGATAATACTTATGAACAATTGGAAGAGGACCTCTGAGGTTACAAGTGAAAGAAATATACATTGTCTCAGAAAAAAAGAATAAACCAGTGTTCTGAATAGAAGCAACTCAATATATATTAGCCATTGTAACTTCAATATTACCATTCCACTAAACAGCTGAATCATTATCAATCAACCTCTCATGAATGTTATATTAAATGAAATATCACAGATTAAATGTACATCTTTCTTGTTCTCTCTACTTTTAATTCTGTATTTCTGAGGTGATATTAATGTAATGCAATTTTATTTAACCTAGGTTCATAATCTCATGTTTATTGGATTCCCTTGATATCTGGAGAAAATTACAATATTTTTTTATTTGATAGTTACCTGGGAATAGTGTTGCAGAATTACCTTCCTTGCATTTTTAAAAAATGTCAAAAGGAAACATGTTGATTTTATCATAGCTGTACTGCTGTGAACTTTTAAAACTTAGATGTAGAGCAGAAAATAAGAAAGAAACTTGGGAAAAAATTGTTCTAAATGTGTTTGTATGTTGGACAGAAACATATGCAAGGTCCTTAGTGCTGTCTGGACTTGGTTGTTTTCTTTAAAAAAAAATCATGACCCAAACTAGGTAGCATCATCAGTGCAGCAAGGTTGATGTTACCTAATTTGGATAATGAAACATCTGCAAGAAAACAGCCAAGCTCAGAAAGCACCATACACTCCTCATTTCAACCCTGAGCTACAAATATTCTCCTTTATATAATCAAGTCCCATATTTTTTTTCCTTTAAGCATAGTTTAAAAAGAAGGTAAATGCAACTGGCTTAGGGATTACATGATGGAGTGCAGCCTATTAGATGTTTATAACATAATTAATTGGAATTCATGCTCTTGCATCTTTTTCCCCATTTTGTTTTTACCAATTTAACTTAAATTGATTGAATTTAATCTACATGGATTGTATTAGTATGTATGCTACCCAATGTCATGACATGAGGTGAGGGTGGGTGGTATAAATAAATAAATAAATTCACATTAAATCATGGTCTTAAAAAAGGTGAATTACATCTGGGAAAGTGAGAAGAAATTCTGCAACACCACTTTCTTCCAACTTCTCAGTTCCCACAACAGCACATCATCTGTGACCTAGGGGAGGATTACAATTCATTATTTCTCAGCTTTTTATCCAGAACCTTGCCTCCTAACCAGATTTGGGTTAGAGATATTAATGTGAATTTTCTTCCACATTTAAAAATTGAATATGGAAGTTATTAGAAGGGCTTTTCTTTTTTTGCAGAGGCAGGGATGTTGTGAAACCTATAGGTTGAATTGACTTTCACACAGAATTGTCTTAGGCACTCTATTCTGAACAAGGCCAGAAAAATTAACATTTGAAAGAATAGATGTGGAAGAGGAGGAGATTGTCACCTTGCATGTCACCTTGATTTGCTCGTGTAGGGAAAAATGCAAAACCACAAAATTGCAAAAAACCTATATGCTGATAGTAACCAATCTGGCTTCTTTCAAGGAGTCTAATATAAAAATAAGCTTCATTTCTTTATTAGTTGCTCCTTCTTGTTCAGGTCAGATCTTAGAATAATGATGTAGCATTTGGGGGAAAAGATGCAGACCAGTAATCCAGCTGCTGAAGCCAAAATGGAAAAGATCTCCACAGCCACCATGTATTTTCCTTTGGTGCTTAGGTAGGTTGGAACAAATGATACCCAAACACTACAAAAGACCAACATGCTGAAGGTGATGAATTTGGCTTCATTGAAGCTGTCAGGTAAATTTCTAGCTAGGAAGGCAACTGTGAAGCTGACAGCAGTCAAGAACCCCATAAAGCCAAAGACGGTATAAAACATAGGGGCTGAACCTTCATTACATTGCAGGACAATTTCTTCTGTCATTGAATGCATGTCAGAATCTGGGAACGGGGGGAAAGTTGCCAACCATGCTAGACAAATAGTAAATTGTATCACTGAGCAAGGTAGGACAATTGAAGCAGCCAATCTTTTCCCTACCCATTTCCGCATTTTGGAACCAGGCTTGGTGGCCATTAAAGCAAGAACAACAATGGCTGTTTTTCCCAATATACAAGAAAGAGCTACAGAAAAGATTAGGCCAAAAGCAATTTGTCTCAAAAGACATTTCACTTGGTCAGGTTGTCCAATGAAGAGTAAAGTGCAAAGAAAGGAGAGAAGGAGAGCAATGAGAAGGGTATAAGTAAGGTTCCTATTGTTGGCTTTGACAATGGGAGTGTCTTGGTATTTAATGAAGATCCCCAATACTAAGACTGAGCTGAAAGACAAGAAGACTGCTGTGGCCAGCAAAGAAATGCCCAAAGGCTCTTGATAAGTCAAATAAGTTATGTTTTTCTGAAGACAACTATCCTGGTCTTTGTTTGGGTATTGATCTTCTGGACATGAGAAACAATCATCTAAGTCTGGAGAAAACAAACAAACAAGGAAACCATTAATGGAAACAGTATTTTTTTCCAGCATCAATCATCAATAAAACAATAGATCCACTAAGGTTCTGTGACTTACATAGGGAATCTGATTACTTTTTCTTAAAATAATTCATAGTATAATTTACAGTATGTTTCCTGAGAATGCTAGGTACATTTGAACTTGGTTGTTTGATATGAAGATAAAGTATATTTAATTCAAAAGAAACAATGTATACCTAAGAAGGAAACCAGGACAAAACACATGCTCTGAAACCTCTAGCTCCAACAACTGTCTAAAACAAGGGTATCAAAGTCATGGTACCACATTGCCACTACATGACATTTCATGACTTTTTTCTGTTTGCAGAACTGGGGTGGGCATGGCCTACACATGATGCATCTGGCCCATGGGCTACTAGCTTGACACCCTTGGTCTAAAAGAAAGAAATGAACAGCTTTCTGCAAGGAATATAAAACCTTCCATCCCTCACCATCCAGTCAAAGCTGAAGAAGCTTGTTGTATGACAAGTGAAATGTCTTCAAAGAAAAACTCCAAAGTCCATTTGCCTCTTGAAAAAGCAGCCATGACCTGGATGACTGAGAATCTCTATAGCCAAGCTCTGAAACATCTAACAGCCAGATAAGCATGGATTAAAGCAAGACAAACTATCTGGCAGAAAACTATGCCTGTCAACCTGCAAAATGACTTCAGTTGAAACTATTCTTTCTCATGCTTACTCCTGCTTTGTTTCTTGGTTGACATTCATGGGGGGGAGGGATGGGGGAGCTTAGGAATGTGGTGCCTCATCTGCTAGTCATAACATCACCCAGCATGTGAATGAAGGTCACATTAATAGACACCTGTCGGAGCCGAGTGGGAACCTGTGGCTGAATTGATTGGCCCATGTGATCTGGAAGATACAGGGGGGTGGGGAATTTCTATTATTTTAACTAACCCTAAATGAGGAAACCATTTAGAGCTAGCTTCTACTTTCTAAATGCTGATATGATGTATTTAATAAAGGGCTTCTTGAACCTGTGCAAACTGTCAAGAGTCTTGACTGCTTTGAGTTCATTATTTGGAATGATTACAACACTCTAATCATGGAACTACTTAAGAGAAAATAATATTCCCATCAAAATGGCATCACAATTTACTGCATAAAGACAGGAAGAAAACCCAACAGTGACTTGTGCTGTGAAACATTTGCTAACCAAAAAACCAAGCTCAAAGAACATGAAGAACTCAACAATACAAACCTAATATTCCCATATTCTACTCTGTTGTGCCATAGTTGGGCAGATACATATCTGCAGTCTGAACCCTGATTTTTATAGCATTCTCTAGCCTTATTGAAGTGCCAAGTGGATTGCTGGATGTCCTCTGCATGGGACTTCCATTGAATACCATTTGAAAACAGAAACTTTTCCCCAATGCAGCAACACATGCAGTTTTGGTGCCCCACAATTCACCTGAGTTGCACTACTGCAACAAGTGATTTGTTGCAGTAGTACAACAAACAATTGAAAGAAACAGATACTCGCTTACAGTATCTGTTTCTTTCAATAAGTCAGCTAGATGAACATATTGTAAGTCTCATGCATTAAATGTTGTCAACTGATGGGAGTTAGAAGTGTACTTTCTCAGTAAATGCCCAGGCTTTTCCAATATTCTCTCCTCTGAATTTTCAGGTAGTCCTATCTTTTTATCCCTGTACTAGGCTGGAAAGACTTGTCTCCTGATCGAAATGTTGGTCTAGGATGGGACAAGAATGAGACAATTAGATCATTCATGTAGGGCTGGTGGGAGGGTATTTTTATAAATTTTTAAACTTATTGTGGTGATCCATCTGCTGTAGGTATAATCACCTAGGTTGATGACATGAGATAGGCAGCCATATAAGATCAATAAGCAATAAACATTGTGAGGAAATAGGAAGTAAAATCCAGTGAAAAGATCACATCTGCAGTAAATGCAATCACCATTACCAGTTACCTTTACTTCCAAAAAAAGAAGGTACAAAGGAAGTATTTCAGATAGTCTACCCAGAAGAAACTTTAATTTAAAAAATAATAGAGTATATTCAAAGAAATATTAAAAAGGGACAATTCAAATCTGGAAAATCTGCTGAACCTTCTAGTTAGAGTAAACTGATTAGTCTTATCATCAAATATCCTGTGGAGGTATGAACATTCAGTTCAAATATTTCATTGTCAAATAGTTAAATGTGATGTGAAGCTCAAGATTTTCAGTCATGATAATTTTTGTTCATAATTGAGCCCCCAATTATATTTATTAATATAATAAAAATATTCAATATATTCCTTTGCTTACCCATGTGGTTTGCTATCTTCCCTTCTGGACAATTTATACAGTCATAGCAGCAAGATAATTTCCCTTCCACTTTTATCTTGCTATGACCAAGAGAACATTTCTTGTTACAAATGGAAAGAGGTAATGTCTGTTCATAAATAAAATCAGAATTCTTTCACATGAAAAATTTATGCTTTAGCGTTGTTCTTTTCATTGCTTAGACATACCCAAATTGTTCATATTGCATCTAGATCTTGCTATTCCATTCCCAGGTTGGTTTCTGGCTTAAATTCCCCACTCCCTCAACTGGTCCTTATTTCATACCTATCATACTAATCAACCCAAGAATACTACTCTAAAGATTTGTTCTGAGAAAATCAGAACTGTGTGAAAATGTTTAACTTGGGAGCTCTTCAAATATGCTTTCCTTGAGGTTCCACATTTTGAGGAGGTCTCCTACATCTGTAATAGCTGTTTCAAAACTTGCTTGATTTTTCCATCATTTAATGAGACTTTTGTGATTTTAAATAGCAAAAATCTGATTTTCAAAATTCAGCATTTTCTGTCTGCCTGCTTATAGTAGAATGATGTCATTTTGGGAGGCTTTTGTATTTGTTTGAAACTTGGAACAGATTGAATACAAATGTAATTTGATCTTTTCTTTAAGGATTGACAGATAATACAGATCATTTACTCTCTCACAAACTTCCAAAAGATCTTTTTTTCTGGGGTACTTCCATTAAAGTTTTTTTTGTCCACAGACTCAAAAATTGAGAGGTGGATATGATTGTCTGAAAATATTAAACTAAATAGGGATATGATGCTTTTCTAAATCAAGTGTAGAACTCTGTCATACAAATGTAGAAAGAAAGATTTTTATGTCACATGATTAATTTATGGGGGTTTTTTTGGAAAATGAATTTTAGGTGATGTATAATCATATTTCCAATAGTAATATACTTCAAAGAGATAGACAGACTGAATTTCTGAAATTATTTTTGAATAATATATTTCAATACTTTAAATTTTGCTATATATCAAATACATTTGAAATATATTTTGAAAGTAAAGTTTCTTTAGGCTATTTCAAGAATGTGAGGCTGCTTAAATTTTAAGCCAATTGTTCTTATTGTATTTACATCATTTATTGATATGGGGCAGTGACTTAAATGATTTCCTAAAAAGTACAAAATGAGACACACCTGGTTAAATGTGAAGGGCCAAGTAATATCCTTCACAGAAATGGTGAGAAACTTACCTAGGGGAGCCATGGGATCAATTTTTCCAACCTGGACTCTCTGAAAGGACTTGTTTGGGAATGTGACCCAATTTAGAATATCAAATCCAGTTACTAATTCCCCATTGGGGCCAAATGAAATCTCTTCCCCCGCACTGTTGTTAAAGGAGACTTTCTGCAAAAAATGGTGAAGCTAAATGAAGAAAAAAGAAGGAAACCAGAAAGTTAACAGGACTTCTTAAAAGATATGAGAAAAAAAAAAACAGTTTCTTCATTTCAATCTGGACTATGCTTAATGAAAAGTAACCTGTTAATTTTTTTTGCTTCAGTCTACACTATTTAAAACTGAATGGGAATATATTTCTTTTTTAACTTGAAATTTTTTCAGAGGAAAATACCATCACAAAATCCAAAAGCACACTTTGCTCTGTTCAATTGAGCAATCCAAAAATTGTGATTTTACATTGCTTCCATTAAATGCAGAGAATATTAAGTTATCCACAGAATCCTCAGGGAAAAAATATAAGTAAAGATGGCCTTTCCTTCCAACTTTAAAAAAAAACCTAAAAGGATAACTTAAAACAAATTTACATGGAAAATCCATTTGAATTAACACTAGAGATAGTCCTTGACTTAAAACAGTTCACTTTTTGATCATTTAAAGTTACAAGGGAACTGAAAATAGTGACTTATGACCATTTTTAACATTTATGACCATTGCAGCATCCCCATGGTCATGTGATTTACATTTGGATGCTTGACAGATGGTTCATACTTATGACAGTTGCAGTGTGCTGTGGTCATGTTGTCATTAAGGTTTTCAGGTCTGGTTTAGTAAAATAAAAGACAGAGTTGAGGTGTCTGTGATGATAAGCCAATGTGTTTATTCAGCATTGTGGAAGGAACCCAGATCTATGCAAGGAAGATAGTAATAGATTTCTTTAACTTTCATTTTATTATATAATATGCAGCTGGCATCCTACAATAAGATATAGAAAATATAGAAAGCATGAAAATAGTCAAGCATGGTTCTGTGGTTTCAGTCACATGCCTAATCCACAGGCTAATGGTTTCCTGTGAAACTTTCCATGGCTTCAAAGGCTTGCTGAGGCCTAGTCTTAAGTTCTGTCATCTCACCATATGTCTCACTTGGGCATTCATCAGAATCATCTGATTCCTGACCAACAATATGGCCCTTTTTTGCAAACATCTGAAAAGCAATGTCAATGGGGCAGCCAGATTCATTTAACCATGTTACTAATTTAACAACTGCAGTGATTCACTTAACAAATGTGGCAAGAAAAGTCATAAAATGGGATAAAATTCATTTAACAAATTTGTCACTTAGCAGTCTATTCTGGGTCAAGGACTGCCTGAATTAAATTTCAGCATGAGTTGTTCATATCTATTTTCCTTTTGCCTTATGTTGATAGTTTAATGAAGAGGGAATAGAGTTTGGAATCATCTTCAGGAATTCTTAACACTCTCATAGAGACCTAGAAAACTATAATTTTATTTATTTATTTATTTCATCAAGCAAGAATTTGATAATATATATGTATAAACATGATTATGTATACATGAAATAGATATGAATAAAAGGGAACTTTAAGACAGAGACGGTAGGCACATTGGTGTGCTTATTATGCATGCCCCTTACAGACCTCTTAAGAATGTGGTGAGGTCAACAGTAGACAATCTGAGGTTAAAGTGTTTGGGGTTTGGGGAAAAAACCACAGAGTCAGGTAGAGCATTCCAGGCATTGACTACTCTGTTGCTGAAGTCGTATTTCCTGCAATTGAGTTTGTGTGGTTTACCCTGAGTTTGTATCTATTGTATGCTCGTGTATTGTTGAGGTTGAAGCTGAAGTAGTCATTGATGGGTAGGACATTGCAATGGATAATTTTATGTACTATGCTTAGGTCAGACTGAAGGTGGTGTAGTTCTAAGTTATCTAAACCCAAAATTTGAAGACTCGTGGCATAGGGTATTGGGTTGCAAGTAGAAGAGTGGAGGACTCTTCTCATGAAATATTTCTTGACTCTCTTAATTGTATTAATGTCCAATATGCAGTGTGGATTCCAGACAGATGAGCTGTATTCAAGAATTGGTCTAGCAAATGTTTTGTAACAGATAGGTAACAGATCAGTCCGGAAAGCCCTACACTGGATCCTGCTATTTGGTTTATATTTCTCTAGGAAATAACAATACATGGGCCATCTAGGATTGCCTAGAAAAGCTATTATTTATGAGTTTTAGTCTTTCCAACATTAACACAGTAACCTGGATTACTGAACAACATATGCACAGTGATTGAAGCACTAGCTTTCCTCTTCTCTCATTAAAAAAAAGGTGGGGGAATTAATAGGACTCTTTAAGCGTATGCACAAATCACACTTTGTTTCTTTTAATTTGGCTTTGCTTAATGAAAGATTATATGTTAAATTTCACATCAGTCTCCACTATTTAAAACTGGAAGAGACTTAATGTTCTGTATCATATTCATTTTTCACCCTACTGCATAACTATAGTATTTCAAATGAAAATATTTCAGATGAGAATTCCATGAAAATATTAACACATGAAGAAAAGCAGTAGATCACTTTGCTTTGATTAATTGATTAATTCAGTGTTGCTTATATACCTGATGACTTTCCTGAATTTTGTATTAGCCAATATTACCTGCCATGGTGACTGAAGCAACATCTTCAATCTCCTTTCATCAATTACTTGACCATCTTTGAATTTGGGGGTTTGGCAGAATATGGCCCTCAGAGCATGTGCCACAGCATAGACTGCATTGTAGATGCTGTAACTATGTCCACTCACAGTAGTCTCAAAGACAGAATTAGGAAGAGTCTCCAGCTTCTCTTCTCCAGTGCAGATCCTTTCAGCATTCCTATCTGTCATCTCACTGGGGAATGAGCAGTCAAATGCATCTTTCCAAAAATCCCTTATAAATCCATCTTCTCTTTCAAAGTTTGGACTTCTATTCAACATAAATTTTTGGAAACCTATTAATGATTTTGAATGAATTGCAAAGGAAAGAGCACCATGGAGAAAATCAATGGGCAAGTGTCTTTGCATTAGAATAGAGGTAAAATCCATCTGAGCTGCCATGATCCAAACTTTGGCTTTTCTTTTCATTGGAATATCATCAGCATCTAAAATGTAGATCATTATTCTCAAAATCACAATGGTTGTAATTTCAGCATTTAAGATCACTGCAACGACTGTACTTCCCATAATCACTTTATATAATTTATCCGCCTGCTCCATCATTTCAGCAACTAAATTACCATACATCATTTGTGGGATACACTCTATGAAGTCAAAGCAGATTCCCCTCTCTGAAAAAATGGAAAGACTCTTTTGAATGAACCTCTCTCTATCTTCCTCATACAGAGAAATCAACCCAACCCAGGTCCACCGGAAATGCAACAATAAGTGTAGTATTCCTTTAAACTGGTGGATCTCATCTGGGAACATCCATTTGACAAAATATGCTGCTGTTTCCCTATTCATCAGTGGGGCTGATCCATATGTGATCTAAATGGGGGGAAAAGAATACAGGCAAAAAAAGAGATTGTTCCAAAGAGAAGTGTGTGATGTGTATATTTGTTAATTGTTACCCTTGCTTTTGGTACAAATGGCATACAAGTCTTTCTTATGAGTTCAACAACTAGGCATAAGGAAGTTTCACAGTATGTTTAAGAACAGTTGTGGTGGTGATTTTCATTGTAGATCATTAACTGGTTGTCTTGAGATTCTGCCATGAGGACTCGGCATCTGAAAGTAATAAATAATTGAACTTCCCCTCCTGTTCCAATTTTGATCTCACCTGTGGAAACTTGTAGTTACACAGAACAGTTGCCATATTGACACAGGTCTTAGTACGGGGTCCTCCAATGACAGCTACTGTGTTGGTCTGGTCATTACATTTGTAGTTGGGGATAAATTTATCTTTTGTAGATAGAAATTCCATTGCTAAAAGGTAAATTGTAATATCATCAAAATAGTCAGTAGTGATGTAGAAACCAAGGGTAATATTGGGTAAAATCCCAGAATGTTCATTGATCTCTTTTATAGCAAATGCCAGAGCCAAATTGTGTTGGTAATTATGAGTGAGGAACCTTCAGTGAAAGTTATAAACTGTGTCAATATATTTTTGCTTCATAATTAAACATTGGCATTTAAAATTATTACATATATTTATAAATACAGAAAATGTGCTTCTTATTGTTTATTCTAGACATCTGGGGTGTGGCCTAAGGCAAATAATAGTCCTAAATTCTATGAACTGAAAAGAACTGATATGGGAAATGGATAAGTAAACATTATTCTGTAGCTCACTTCCTTCTCTATTTAAGTCTCTTTTTCTGGAAAACATCATGGTGAGATGTATCTTCCAGGATTAATATGGTTGTTTGCAATAACATTCCTATCTGGAATGAATGAAGGGAGAATAGATACGATTTCAATTGTATGCTTATAACATTCTTACAAGTAATTTGACATTTGGACTTTGTAATCTGTAAAAATAATAATCCAGTTCCATTGCCTATCACAGTTTCTTCACTCCATAGTGATGGGCAAGGGAAGAAAATTCAGAAAGTACCAGGATATATATAGACTATTTTTAGAACAGCCCTACAATTTAGATTAATCACGATTTTCTCCTAATGAAACAAAGGACTGTGAATGTTATTTATGGGAAATGACCTTTGTAATAGTAATATTAAAAGCAACAATACTTCCTTCAGTTGAAACTTCAGAATTTGAGGAGCTTAAATCTCTCTTAGCTTTAGAATTAAGACATGGCTAAAGATCATGTGGTATGGTAACTATTTTACAGAAGGAAGGAAGGAAGGAAGGAAGGAAGGAAGGAAGGAAGGAAGGAAGGAAGGAAGGAAGGAAGGGGGAGGGAGGAAATGAACATTATAGTGGTGATGTGTATGACTCTGTGAATGACAATACTTACAGATACTGATCAAGGACATCATGTGAAGGAACACTTTGAAAAGTGATCTCATTTGAAACAAATAACATCTGATATATGATGGCAGCAATGATTAAATCTCCTGATTGATAATACTTATGAACAATTGGAAGAGGACCTCTGAGGTTACAAGTGAAAGAAATGCACATTGTCTCAGAAAAGAAGAATAAAACCAGTGTTCTGAATAGAAGCAACTCAATATATAAAATAATCATTGTACAAATCAAAGTGTAACTTCAGTGTTACCATTCCACTAGTGAGCTGAGACATAATCAATCAGCCTCTCATGAATATTTTATAAAGTGTAGTATCACATATTAAATATACCTTTTCTCTACTTTTAATTCTGTATTTCTGAGCTGGTATTAATGCAATGCAATGTTTTTAACCTAAGTTCATACTTTTCTCATGTTTATTAGGATTCCCTTGATATCTGGAGAAAAGAATAACAAGTTTTAATTTGATAATTACCTGGGAAATAACAGCTTATTTGTGGAACTACCTTCCTTGCATTTTTGTAAAATGTCAAAAGGAAACATATTGATTTTATCTTAGCTCTACTACTATGAATTTTTGAAACTTAGATGTAGGGCACAAAATGAGGAAGAAACTTGGGACATTTTGATGAGTTTTCATGTTGGGGCTGGGCAGATATATATGTGAGGTCCTTAGTGCTCTCTGAGCTTGGCTGTTTTCTTGCAAACATTTCATGACCCAAATTAGGTAGCATCAGGAATGCAGCATGGTTGATGTTACCTAATTTGGGTAATGAAATATCTGCAAGAAAGCAGCCAAGCTCAGAAAGCACCATGGATCCCTTGTTTCAACCCTGAGCTACAAATATTCTCCTTTATAGATGCTTATGTATACTCAAATCCTAGATTTTGTTCATTTAAGCATAATTTAAAAAGAAGGTAAATTCATTTACTGTCAGTTTCTACTAAATGCAGTATCTATTAAAAATGAAGATATAACATGATCCTTGAGGTCAAGAATGGTCTGAAAGAGGGAGATAATGCTGAACCCATGGTATGAATCAATTAATTAAGATGTAGTTATTTATATACTTTTCTTATTTATCAATTTTTATTGTAATAGATACCACTGGTTACTGTTCTGACCTAGGCTTCCCAACAGCATGAAGCTGGGTCCTCATCCCGATAAACTCCTTTTATTTGATTTACAATGAATTGCCTCTCCAACAAAGTCCCAGCCAATAGCCTGTCAGGATTCCAGCAGTTACCCCCATTTAAATAATGGGTCTCGAGCCAAACTTCAAAAACTTTAAAAGGATTTATTGATAGTTAACATGCCGGCACTGCCTGGGTGTAGCCAACTCTGAGACACATAATTCATTGTCATCCTTGACCCTGGTTTCCCACCACCACCCCCTGGGTGTATCATAATTCATATTCTCCAATGGGACACATCCATAGCCAAGAGTCATAAATCATGTTCTCCAGTTAGAATTTTGCATGGCAGAAACTTCAGTCATCTAGTTACTATCTTTGAAAACATTTATGGAATGCAGATTCAGTTTTGCAAGCTGCTGCACTGCTCCCCCTCCCTTTCTTGTTGGCAACTATAAAAAGACTGGATAAATATTTTATGATTCTTTTATGATAGCTCCCAATTAGAAACCTTTATCAGGCTGGGAGGGCTTTTCTTTTTGGGGGGAGGCAGGGATATTGTGAAACTCAGGCTGCAAGACAAAGATTAGTGTGCGTTATCTGATGAAAAATTGATTTTCACACAACATTGTCTTAGGCACTCTATTCTGATCAAGGCCATAAAAAAACCATTTGAAAGAATAGATGAGGAGCAGCTGTCTAGATTCTGCAAAAACCTTGGAGGAGATTGTCACCTTGATTTGCTAGTACAGAAAAGAATGCCAAACTGCCAAAAACTAGTATGTTGATAGTAACCAATTTGGCTTCTTTTGAGGGATCTAATATAAAAATAAGCTTTATTTCTTTATTAGTTGCTCCTTGTTCAGGTCAGGTCTCAGAATAATGATGTAGCATTTGGGGGGAAATATGCAGACCAGTAATCCACCTGCTGAAGCCAAGATAGAAAAGATCTCCACAGCAATCATGTATTTCCCCTTGGTGCTCAAATAGGTGGGAACAAATGATACCCAGACACTGCAAAAGACCAACATGCTGAAGGTGATGAATTTGGCTTCATTGAAGCTGTCAGGTAAATTCCTAGCTAAGAAGGCTACTGTGAAGCTCACAGCTGTCAAGAACCCCATAAAGCCAAGGACAGTATAAAACATAGTAGTTGAACTTTCATTACATTGCAGGACAATTTCTTCAGCCATGAAGTGCATCTGGGAATGGGGGGAAAGTTGTCAACCAATCTATACAGATAGCAAATTGTACCATGGAGCAAGGTAGGACAATTGAAACAGCCAACCTTTGCCCCACCCATTTCCTCATTTTGGAACCAGGCTTGGTGGCTATGAAAGCAAGAACAACAATTGCTGTTTTTCCCAATATACAAGAAAGAGCTACAGAAAAAATGATACCAAAGGCAGTTTGTTGCAAGAGACATTTCACTTGGTCAGGTTGCCCAATGAAGAGAAAAGCGCAAAGGAAGGAGAGCAATGAGAAGGCTATAAGTGAGGTTTCTGTTATTGGCTTTAACAATTGGAGTGTCTTGGTGTGTAATGAAGATCCCCAGTACTAAAACTGAGCTGAAAGACAAGAAGACTGCTAAGACCAGCAAAGAACTTCCCAAAGGCTCTTGATAAGTCAAGTAAGGGAGAGAGAGGGAGGAAAACCCGAGGAGCGCCGGCCGGGAGGATCGTTGAGCGAGAGCGCTCCAACTGTGGCTTTTCCCTCGACTTCGAGAGTTTTCCCCTCGACTGCTGAGTGAGAATCTGACTTTTCCCAGGAGCGACCCAGCCCAGAGAACGATCATCTTTGGAGTCGGTGAGAGCCCAGAGAACGATCATCTTTGGAGTCGGTGAGATTCATCCCATCCTTGCAGGGCGGTGAGCACTGGGAGCTGTGAGACTGTCTCCAGAAGTTTGCAGCTAGGGTGTGAAGCAGACTACCTCCTCCCTGCCGCCCCCATTTCCCTCTTCCCTCTTTTCTCCTCGCCAAATTGCTAATCCGGACTCCAGGAGTGATAGAAGCAGAGGTATATTAAAGCCAGGAGTGAATGCTCAATACAAACCTGAGTCTACACAGTAAAAATATAAACTGTTTGAATTTACCAGTGCAAGACGTGCCTCTTTCTCTTAAAAGCAACAAACTTTGAAAGTGTATTCAGTTAACTAGGAGGGGCCCAGAAATCTCATTCATCAAGGGAAAACAAAAACAAATAGTTTCCTGTGAGCTGTTCAATCTTTCCTTCACTCGGATAAAAACCCTTGGAACATTGTGTTACAACTTCCTGTTTACAGAGTAATAGCGATCTGCTATTCAAAGAGCGATAAATTCCTCTCATTCAGCTGCCAGTAAAACAATTAACCCGTTCCTTGCAGACTCTTAATACTACCTCATTACCTCAAAACTTACAACTTTTCTACCTCATCACCTATATCAACGATTAGATAATCAATTTCTATAAAATATTTTATTAATGGTTTAATTGATTTATTGTTTTTAATTGATTAATGTGATTAGAGTGTTTAGTGCAAATAGTGTGATTACTGACTAGTTTAAAAGATCAAAATTCATGTAATTTAATTGAATAGCAAAATCATTGATTTAGTGAATTTAAATGAACAGTGTGATTAATGATTAATGTAATTAATTGATTAGTGATTAGAGTAATTAATTGATCAGGCTGATCGTTGCTCAGGAATATTATCTGACTTGAGAGATTACTGCAATTGATTGTTTGATGTAATATTGGCTATATAGATTACCCAAAATTGTTCCTTTAATTAATTCAATCAATGTACTATTTTAACAATCCTACCATGCCAAAAAGAAAATCCTATGCCAAACCACAACCTAAAGAAAAGATAATCCCCATCAATGAACCACAAGACTCCTGCACATGCCTTAAATGCTACAAAAATCTAAAGGATAATGAAAACTACATCAAATGTTCTCTGTGTAAAAAATACGCTCAGCATGACTGCTTGGGATTACCTGAGCAAATGATTCAATACCTAGAATCATCCAATGAGTTTCCATATTTCTGCAAATCATGCAGACCCAAACTGGATCTGTCTGAAAGAGTTGATACCATCGAAACCATTGAAACATCCCCTACCATCGAAACCATTGAAACATCCCTCAACACCATAGTAGCATCCCTAGACGCCGTAAAAGAAAGAATATCCAACCTTGAAAAAAAAGACACAATGCAAAAACCTGAACATCCAATAGCTACAAACCACATCTCTACCCAACAACCACAATCCAATCCAAAACCCAATCCACAAATAAACACAACCCAGACAAATATTGATATCCCAATCCTCATCAGAGAAGCCGTTGAGCGTGAACGGAAACGTCCAAACGCCATCTTATTTGGTCTAGAAGACATCAATGTCAATGATGACATCACAACTGTCCGAAACATCATCAGAGATTATCAAGCATCAACCATCTCCGCTGATGAAATACTTGACATTTCCCGCATCGACCGAGAGCTCAAAAATAGAGACGGCTCTGTGGCCCCACGCTTGTGCAGGGTCATTTGCAAAAATGAATCAAGCAAACGTAAATTCATTTATACTATAAACTCACTCGCCAAAACCAACACCAACCATAAGAACCTCCGTTGCCGCCCTGACCTAACCATACAGCAACGTGCCCGCTCCCGTGTACTCCGCATCGAACTCAAAAACCGTCTAGACAATGGAGAGAAGGACCTGTACATTGACTACCATGCTGACTGTATCAAAAGTAAGCCACGCAACCCAATACTCAACTTTTACCCTCAACCACAACCCTACCTCAACCCATCCACCACCACCCAAAACTAGGCACGCACGCCCCCAATTACCTCAATTCCAACTACTGCCGGCCTTAAATGCAAACTACTCAATGCCAGAAGCCTCGTGAATAAAATACTTGAATTTCTCATCCTCCTATATATGGCTAACTTCGACATTATATTTGTCTGTGAAACCTGGCTCAATGCATCTCTCCCCGACTCCATTACCACAGTAAGAGACTATCATGTTTACCGATCAGATCGTGAAAATCGTCGAGGAGGTGGTGTTGCTATATTCTATAAAAAATCCTTACATCTAAAAAATATCCAAGTTACCCAGGAGCTTGCCCTTCCTGAAACCATCATCTGTGAACTATCCTTAAATATCACAATTCGATTCTTACTATGTTACAGAGCACCTGATTATGACATCGAACATGTAAACAAGCTAAATACATTACTAACATGGGCTGCATCCTGCCCATACCCTTTTATCCTTCTTGGTGATTTCAATCTGCCTCATATTGACTGGACCCTAAATGATTGTACAACTGAAATCATACATGCAATCTTCTACAATGCTGTAACAAATCTGGGACTGGAACAACTAGTAACCAACAATACTAGACTAAACAACTGCCTCGATCTCATCTTCTGCAATAGTTTGAATTTAATTTACGGAATACAAACTAAAGAACCCTTTTCCAGTAGCGACCACAATATGATTGACTTTTGTCTCAACATACGTCCACACAAAAATCACCACAATGATGTAATCCCCAATTGTAACTTCAAAAAAGGCAACTATGATCTTATAGACAACGATCTCTGATCCCTTGATTGGCAATCTCTATTCACTGGATGCAATACCGTTGAAGACCATTACAACATATTTTTACTTGAAGTCAAAAGAGTCATCAAACTATATGTTCCAACAACAACTCCCCAAACAAAACAAAAAAGTAGATTACCCATATCAATAAGGAAACTTCAATCCAAAAAGAGATCACTCTGGCGGAAAAACAAATCTGGTCATGTTGCCAATTTCAAAAACCGATACAAAAATTTATGCCACCAGATAAAGACTGAATGCACCAATTATCACATTAAACAAGAGGAAAACCTTCTAAGTACCAATTCCACCCGTGCTTTTTACAATTTTGTAAACAACAAACTAAAAGACTCAAGGTCCATCCCTCCCTTGATAGGACCTGATGGTAAAGACTGCAACGACGACACCATTAAAGCCAACAT